AAGAAGAAAGAAAGGAAAGTACAGCCTAATGCTGCAGAAATACTTGGCTGCATAGCTTTGACTGATGAATTGATGCTTAACTTGAGAATATGTTCTATGCAAGTTGGTGTTCTGCATATTTGAAATATTTCATAAAGAAAATTGTTTCATACATGTGAGGAATTATACATGTAACCAAGTTTGCAAGAAAACTCATTTGAAACCCAGATCTCTATATAATGTTAATGACAATTTGTCTATTTGCAAGAGAAATGCTTGTTCACTGTCTGAATTCAGATGCATTTCTGGGGTGTGTTACCATTTTAGTATTTGCATAACAACTCCAAGAAACAAATTAGTGGTGCTTTGTAAATTGTCATTCATTGTAAACTGTAGGAGCACCTTTTAGCAAAGTAAAAAGCAATGAAATAGTTCATATAATCAAAATCCTTTTAAATAAAAATGTTGAAATTGATGCTATAAAGATTAAAAGGAATTATGCTCAGTCATACAGGGACACAGCTACAATGGAGCCCCAACCCCCTTGGGGTTGTTGCATGGCTGTTCCTTTTAGATCAGGCCTTTTTAAAGTGAGGTTATACTTCATGTCTCAAAAGAGACTGTACCTCATGTCCCAGGTAAAGATGAACCACAACACAGCCTCATTTCAGTGGGTAAGCACGTGAATGCTTCCTCTCAGATGGCCACTGAAGGGTCTGGCCAAGGTGATGGCCAGGGCCAGCTTGAGAAGCTTCCTCACTGCATCTCATCCCATGGGCTTTGTGACATCTGACATCATCACAAGGAGGTAGGGAGTAGAGTACAATGAAATATTTGATGGGGCCAGAGAGATGGCTCAGTGGAATAAGTGCTTCCCTGGCAAGCACAAGGGCCTGAGTTCAATCCCCAGTTCCAAAAAAAATATTGAGAAACCATATTCACACAACTTTAATTACGGTATTCTGCTGTGTTATTTTATTATTGTTACTCTCTTACTATATCTAATTAATAAATTAAACTTTCTCATAGGTATGTATATACAAAACATACTATAGGTAGGGTCTACTAGTGTCTGTGGTTTTAGGCATTCACTGGGGTCCTGGAACACATTCACAGCGGATAAGAAAGAAGTACAGCAGACAGAGTGACGAGGGACTTTCTCCTTAGCCAATAGTTCATCTTTCTCCAAAAAGTCATGAAGGTTGTGGCTGTCAGAAGATATTTCGGTATAAATCCAGGAAATTACTGAGTATAAACATACCTGTCAAGAGAGAATAAGTATAGTACAAGGGCTTGTGCTCTGGGGATTCAGGAGGCATTTATGAAAGATTCTCATCCAATGTACGTTTTTTGCTTTAGTCTAGTTTTTTACTAGCACATGTCTGCGGTACATGTTTACATTCCTGTGTGGAGTTGGTCCGTGCACCTAACACATCTCCGCTGCCTTTTCACTCCTTTCCATCCCCTCCCGCTCCACCCCAGTACTTCCTATTGTCTTTTATTTTGCCTTCTGTTTAAATTTTGGTTCCTCATACAGGAGCATCTATCTTTTTTTGCTTTTTTGTTATGATTTGCATTTCTCATATAAGAGAAACCATGAGATGTATAACATATTATTTTTAATGTCTTTTCTTTTCAACTGGCAGGTGGTTTTTGCTGTTACAGACTTTGTGATAGAAAATCTTGGAAAACAGTTTATAGAGACCCCCCCTGTGGACCTGGCTACCCTGTATCAAGACATGTCATATAGCACCCCTCTGGTGTTCATCCTGAGCACAGGCTCAGATCCCATGGGCACGTTTCAGAGGTTCGCCAGGGAAAGTGGATATGCAGAACGGTAAGGCCATACTGTATGCCTCTCAATGATTATGATTTTCCTTCAGTCCTCCCCTGTGAAACATGAATTCTTACATTCATATAGTAAATAAATAAAGCTATATTAACATTTAGCTCTATGTTGTTAAAATGAGATAAAAAAAATCATACAAGCATGTGTGACTTCATTTAAACTAAAAATGATTGCTTACTGAGTTACAGAATAATAATCAAGGAGAATAGTTGTATATCATTTAACCACATGATTTTAATGTAACTCTTTCAGTTACTTTTCTTTCATCGCTGGACAAAATACCCGACACCCAAAATTAAGGAAGAAAAGGATTATTTAGCTCTCAGTTAGCAGAAGTTTCAGTCCATACTCAGCTGGCTCCAATGCAAAGTGGCACATGAGAGAGGGCAACAGTTCATGGTGGCAGAAAACAGCAAAACAGCAAGAGCGAAAGGGAGGGGTAGCAGTAACAATGGCTACAGAGAGCAAGTCTGTCTCCCTTATGTTGCATTCAGGATATCCACTCCAGGCTTGATGTGGTAGTACTCACACCATAATCCAAGCACTGGATTATAAATTAATCACAAATTCTAGAAGTCTTCCCTATGACTCACGAGGCTTTGGGGGGACAACTAGACACAAACCATAACAGTAACCATAAAGGGATTGAAGCTGACTCCCTATACCCAGATGTAAAAAAAAAAAAAAAACCAGAACAATTTAAATGCTGTTATTAACCTCCTCTCCCCATTTAGTCTCCTGTGTTGATGCTGGCCTGGTCCCTGGTGTGGGACTTACAGAGAATGAGTAACATCATTTCTTCACTGGGAGTTCATGGTCTTGTATTACTTAAGCTTCTCCAAAGCAGCAAACCAAAGAGGAGTGTGAGTGTGAGTGTGTGTGTGTGTGTGTGCACTGCCCATCAGTATCACAAAATATCTAAGGGGGCTGGGGAGATAGCTCATGGAATAAGTGCTTCCCTAGCAAGCTCAAGCTCCTGGGTTCAATCCCTGGTACCACACACACACACACACACACACACACACACAAAAATCTGAGGAAGTTAACTGATGTATAGAGAATAGACTTATTTTGGCTCATAGTTGTGGAGATTCCTATCCAAGATTGCATGACCCATTGCTTTGGATCTTTGCTCTACAAAGGTGGCACATCACAGCAGAGCAAGCACAAAACAAAGCACTCATGTCATGAGCCAAGATGCAGAATGGAAGAAGAAAGTAGGGTGTCGCAAGTGCACACCTTCCGTGACTAAGGAGCTCCCTCCAGTTACTGCTCCTGATGGCTCCACCACCTCACTTGTTACCACAATGTGGAGAAACAGGAACTCCCATGTGCTGGTGGATGTACGGAATGACATTAGTTTGGAAAACAGTTTGATATTATACATAAGTTAAATAAATACATATTCTATCAAGCATCTGTTCCACTTCTGTGAATATACTTATAAAAAATGGAGCACACACATACCCAGAAAGGGTTTTGTTTTTGGAAACATTATGTATAGTTATCGACAACCAGAAATAATACCATCAAGAACAGAATGGATAAATTGTGGTCCAGTCACACACTAGACTATTATACAGCAATGAAAGTGAATAAGCTACAAATAACATGAATCTAACAACATGTGGATTGATATTGAATATAATTCAGAAACAACCAAAGTTAATCCGCAGTGTGAGAATTCTATATTGTTCTTGCCTTTGTGGATCAGATGGACACTGACGGGGAGGATGCAATCACGATAGATGTTTTGGCCCAGAGAGTGGAACCTGTGCACATTCATGCTGAGAGACTTTAGTAAGCCACACACAAGTATGTGTGCACTTTTCCTGTTTTTAAGATTTTTTTTTTCAAAGCTGATCTGTAGGGGAAAGGGAAATAAAAATGATTGGGTCAGAGAGAGTCAGGAGTGATATTTCTGTGAATGTCAGCAAAGTTCTCTTCTCAACCACAGATGCTTATTTGTGACCATTCATAGAGCAGTATGTCTAGTTCTTGCACTTTTCTGTATGTAAGTTACAGTAAAAATATTTTTAAGGGGCCGGGGAGATGGCTCAGTAGAATAAGCACTTACCTGGCAAGCGCAAGGGCCTGAGTTCAATCCCTGGTTCCGCCAAAAAAAAAAAAAAAAAAAAAAAAAAAAATGTTTTTAAGGGCCAGGGAGATAGCTCAGTAGAATAAGCACTTGCCTGGCAAGTGCAGGGTCCTGAGTTCAATCCCCGGCACTGCCAAAAAAAAATAGTTTTTAAGAATAAGAAAAGTATGTGCACATTGGTCCAAATTAGGATTAAAAGCTTGTGTATTGTAGGCAAGAGTTTCTCATACTTCATTTGCATTTTTCAAAATATCTGCATTCCCTTAATATAAAATAATCTTCTGTTGTTGTTCAATTCAGAGTGCAGTCAATTTCCCTGGGGCAAGGACAAGGACCCATTGCTGAGAAAATGATCAAAGACGCAATGAAATCGGGAAACTGGGTCTTTTTGCAAAACTGCCACCTTGCTGTCTCTTGGATGTTAGCGATGGAAGAACTAATTAAAACTTTCACAGATCCAAGTACGTGAAGCACATTGCATTGTCATGCTAATACTACTTAATGTAATTTTTCTTTTTTATTTGTGTGTGTGTGTGTGTGTGTGTGTGTGTGTCTGGCTCAGCCCACCCTGAGGAGGAGTGGGCTGGCACAGCATGTGGTGCTGGGGATCGAACCTCGGTCCCTCCCCTTGCCGAAGCTTGCCTAAGTAGGCGTTTTAGACCACTGAGCTGTCTCCCTGGCACCTGATGTTTCTTGTTGAATCCGCTCCTTATAGTAGTTCTTTCTAATCGCCTTACAAAAGCCCCACCTGTGAGCACAGGTGGCTCTCGGGGGACATCTAGACATAAGTAAGTTGTAACAGCCAGCTCTTTGAAGAGATTAGACAGGCTGAGGACATGAGCTGAACTCCTTGGTGGGGTTCTAGTGGCTGAAGCTCACTAAATCTTCCAGTGGGTGCTAAAACCCTCCTCTGGCCCTGGCTGTACTCATTTACAACCCAGCCATTTGAGTTCTGATATCTTTGAACCAATATAAATTAAAATAGATTTGGATAGTAAACTGAAGAGAGAAAGAAAGAAAACATGAAATCAAATTAAAAAAAAAAAAAAAACCTCTCTAGACTTGAAGCTCTAAGACCTTGGAAAAGTTTACCCGCTTCTGAGGACTGCCCTTGCCATGCCTTTTCTCTGGGCCTCAGTTTTCCCACCTATAAAATGACCACAGAGCCCCGTTGCTGAATGACATACACTATGACTTCTAAGAGTCTCTTCTAACACTAAGTTCCTGTAATGTCTATGAAAGTTAAGCTGCTTGGTGCTGGGGCCGGGGGGTTAGCTCAGCGCAGAGAGCCTGCTTAGCATGCTGAAGCCTGGAGGTTAAGTCCCTGGCACCAAAGGCAGAAACAAAAAAGACCAAAATAAATAAATAAATAAATAAATAAATAAATAAATAAATTGAAAAAATTATTTCACAATTAGATGTGGAAAAGCGTTTTTTTTTGTTGTTGTTTTGTTTTGTTTTTTGCAGGGAGGGAAGAGGGATACTTCTCTCAACCTGGTCCATTTCCACTTTTGCTTTTTGTTTTGTTTTTTGTTTTTGTTTTTTAATAAATGCAATCATCTGCCCATAAGACTGTTTGCCATTTACTTCTATGCCTGATTGCTTTTATGGTGGTCTAGAATTGCATTAGAACTGATTTTTAATTTTTTTCTATTTAATCTGGCTCATCAATTTAAATTACCAAACCAAGAAACATAAAATCAGCTTTGATCTGCTTCCACATATTCTGTAACCACTTTAGAACCTACTACGTACCTTGCACTGTCCAGGGTGCTTAGAGTATGTCAATGAATTAAAACAACCATAGAGGGCCGGAGAGATAGCTCAGCAGCCTAAGCACCTGCCTGGCAAGTGCAGGGACCTGGGTTCAGTCCCTGGTACCACATGCCGTGCAGGCCCTGCACTGAGCCAGCCACCAAAACTGGACATGGTGGTGCACACCTGTAATCCCAGTGCTGGGGAGGCCAAAACAGGAGGATCATTACGAGTCTGAGCTGTGTAGTGAGACTCTGTACCAAATAAATAAATAAAAGATTTTTTAAATAATAAAAATAAAACAACCATAGATATCTGCCTGAGTGGAAAGAAACCAGCAATGAATAAATTAGTAAACTTGTCATTTATATAGTAAAATAGAAAGTGGTAATGCTTTGGAAAAAATAAAGAATAAGGTAATGAGGAGCAGAAAGACCAGAGTGGGAGGAAGGAGGGTGACAATTTTAAATGGTGTGGCTTCACAGGCCTTTTTGAGAAAAGGACCTTTGACCAAGACAGTAAATGAGGGCCTCTCATTCCCTGGAATAATTTAGAAGCACTGTAATCAGAGGGAACAGTGGGGCAAAGGCCTAGGGAAGGAGCCAACTGGCAGGTTTGAGAAACAAAGTAATATGCACCTAAAACATGTACCAAAATAATGAGCACCATGCCGTGGAAATCATGCCTGTGTTTTCCTGTGGTGGGAACAATAATTTATTTTCTAACTTTGATATTTTGAACCGAAGAGGAACTTCGCTCTTTTTAAAGTTCTCCGTCCACTGCTCAGCAAGTAAGCGGATTGACCTACACAGTCAGCACTCTCCACGGGGTCTCCCAGTAGCCCTGCTTCCCGAGTTCCCCTTGTAATATCCCTGCCGAAGGAGCCCCCTCCCTGCTGCCTAAGGCTTTCTGAGCTTTTTCGTGTGACTTGCCTTGAAGTGGACAACTTGAAAAAAAAATGCATGAGCTACATGTACTAGTTGTAACTGTCCTCTTTTTCAAATGAAATTTTCCCCTTCTTGAAAGGGAGGTTTCTTAACATCTCATCAAATATTAATCATTGAGGGGCCAGCCAAAGAGCTCAGCAGATTAAAGCACCTGCTTAGGCAGACGCAGGGGCTGGGAGTTTGATCCCAGGGCCTGCCTTGCCGGCCCGCCCCCGGGGCACGCTGAGATGGCGATTGAGGCTGGGCGTGGTGGCATAGGCTGTAATCCCAGCAGTTGGGAGGCTGTGAACAGGAGGATCACCATGAGTCCGATCTATGCAGTGAGATCCTGTAGACCCTGTAGGCCCTGTCCTAAAACACACACACATGCACAAGTAAACAAACAAATAAATAATTGACCTGTCCTTTATTTCTTTATCCCAATGTGCCATCTTCTAGGCTGTCAAAGCTTCCTAATGCGGAGTTTTTACAGCTCTTGCTATCCCATCTTAAAATAGCTTGCCACATACTTGAAATAAATCCTGTAGGTCTTTAGACAGAGTTTACAGCGCTTTTGCTTTCCACACAAGAATAACTTATTTTAAAAAGTGCTAATACAAACTAGCATTTACTTCTGTCGTTCTGTCTCTGTTTTAAATAGATAACACTATCAAGGACACGTTCCGGCTCTTTCTGAGCTCCATGCCCAGTAGCACGTTTCCTGTTACCGTGCTCCAAAATTCTGTCAAGGTAACGTATGCACACGGTTGCGATATGAAATGACTGGTCTCGTATGTTCGCCTAAGGAGCTCGGACCCTGCATACGCAAGGTCTGTGTGGCTGGGGTGGGGGAGGGCAGAAGTCAGTGTCCTTTCAACTGACAGCAATCAAGGAAACGATTTCTCAAAACAGTGCCCGCCCTCCCACGGCCTAGTCCTGCTGGTCATTCAACTCTTTCAGCTCTGACCCTGTCTACAAGAAACGTCAAAGCATCCGGAGTGATGATAACAGATCCCTCCCAAATTAAGAGAGCATTTTGGCATTTGATAAGAAGGCTTACCACTAATGTGGCTGCTGGGTTTCAACACAAGAAGTTCCTAATATGTGAAAACAAAATGTAGTTCTTCCCTCCTGTGTCATTCATGGATATATATATATATATATATATATATATATATATTATTTAGTTCAGGGTCTACACGGTCTCACTACACAGATCAGACTCGTAGTGATCCTCCTGTTTTCAGCCTCCCAAGCGCTGGGATTACAGGCGCAGGCCACCATGCCCAGACTTAGTCGCCTCTCAGTGCACCCCAGGGGCAGGGCTGGCACAGCATGTGCAGCCAGGGATCAAACCCCAGACCTTGCACTTTACCTAAGCAGGTGCTTCAGTCTGCTGAGCTATCTGGCCAGCTCCTATATATTTTTAATTAAATTTCATTTTATTATTTCATTTTGAAAAGTAAAAGACAAAAGCAAGACCAAAACTCGGAAACAATGACAGAAACAGGGTAAGATGCAACAATACATATGTTACAGATTTTCAGAACAAGAATAGTTGATGAACAGTGGTTGATACATTATCTATTTTTGTCCTCAAATCTGTTGCTCAGAATAACAGACATAGTTATGTAAGATTGGACATATTACCGCCTGTTTTCCAGAAACCTTAAATTTTTGTTCTTGTCCCTCTTGTTTTTCTTCTTTCTTGTTTTTAATTTATTTTGAAGAGAGTATAGTTATAACTGATATGACATTAGAAATGACACACATTTAGAAGACCAGGATGACAAGTATTCAAGCATGATTTTTGTATTACACATTGCTGTCCTCAGTGTAGTTGCTTAGATCCCAGCTATCAGCACACAGTCAAGGCGAAAATCCTACACATCAGTTTGGGACCGGCCACAGCACAGCAGACAAAGTATATTTTGATATGACTTAAAAATCCAGTGGAAGGGGCCGGGGAGATGGCTCAGTAGAATAAGCGCTTGACTGGCAAACGCAAGCATCTGAGTTCAATCCCCGGTTCAGCCAAAAAAAAAAAGAAAAAGAAATCAGAAAAATCCAGTGGAAATTGTCTTAGTCTGATTTCTGGCCCAAGGTTAGAAAACTGCTTGGAAGTACCTGAGGTCTGTGCACAGATGGTTCAGCACCTGTAGGTCTCAGGACCCCTCCTGGCCCTCCTTGCCTTGGACAGTGGGCGACAGGATGTAAGGCAGGTGTGCATGTGCCGGGAAAGCCGGAGGGACTCAGCTGTGTGCATCCTCTCAGTGGCTTTGGTCCACGGGTGCTACTCGGAAACTCAGAAATCTGTATAATCACCCTGACTGTTGTATATGTTCTGTCTCAATGCAGGTCACCAATGAGCCCCCGAAAGGCCTGCGTGCAAACATCAGGCGAGCATTTACTGAAATGACACCTTCATTTTTTGAAGAAAATATACTTGGAAGAAAATGGAGACAAATAATCTTTGGCATCTGTTTCTTCCACGCCATTGTTCAGGTAGACTCAGTTCTGCTCTTTAACAGCAACCAGGAAACGTGTTGTGCTATGAATAAAATAAATAAGAAATAAATGAAAGCCGGCCAACGACACTGTGAAATGCTAAGGACCTGATTCTACACCTGAACCTAAGTTGCAAGGGGCAATCAAAATATCCAACAAAGAGGACTAGCCAGATAGCTCAGCGGGCTAAAGCGCCTGCTTAGGCACACTCACGGACCGGGGTTCAATCCCGCCGTGCCCTGCCAGCCCCACCCCCAGGGCACACTGAGCCAGCGACTGGGACTGGGCGTGACACTGTGTGCCTGTAATCCCAGCACTTGAAAGGCTGAAAACAGGAGGATCACTATGAGTCTGATATGCGTAGTGAGACCCTGTACTAAATACATTTAAAAAATCCAACAAACATTTCAATTTTTTAAATGTATTATAGTAAAAGATACATTGCCTCCATCCCTCTAAAGGCTATCCCTCGCTTCAAATGCTCTTATCCCATTGTTCTTGCCATTTTCTGAAGCAGCTCTGAAAGTCTTCTTCCCTGGGTGTCCTTACAAGGTTTAATTAAAAAATGATGGTAAATCTCGCCGCCACGTGCACCTAGTGGAGAGGCAGGCTCCCGAGCCCTGCCGCTGTGTCCTCCCCTCCTAATCCACTGCATCTGGCACCATGTGACTTCTGCTCTTCCCTGTAGTCAAAAAGACCATGAAAAGTGAATATTTTGAATCCACTGATGACACTGAAACTGCCACACAGCACAACTAATTACGTACCTCCAGAAGTAAGTCAGAAAATAGCAAAACTGATAGAACAAGCGTGATTGAAGTGGGTGCATTACGGGGGATGATCAGCAGTGTGTCTTTTACTGTAGTAAGTTGTTTAAACACTTCGCATGTTTTTCCATCACGCCGCATAAGTGTACCTCAACCTCTGATCTTCCTACATGCTTTGCCTCCGCATCTCACAGCTCCCACTCCCATGTGATCTGCCCACAGAGCACCATCACCCGGATGAGTGTGTAGCTTCGATACAACAAGCATAAAATTAGGGCCAATGAGATAGCTCAGTGGACTAAGCACCTGCTTAGGCAAGCACAGGGACTGGGTTCGATCCCCAGTACCACATGCTGCACCAGTCCAGGCGTGGTGGCACACATTTGTTATCCCAGCTCTGGGGAGGCTGAAAACAGGAGGATCACCTCAAGTCCAAGCTGCATAGTGAGACCCTGTACCAAATATGGAAAACAAACAAACAAACAAACAAAAAAAAAAAAAAAAAAAAAAACATAAAGCTGATCTCAGCCCTGCCTCCCCAGATCTGCTTCCTTCCAGGCTGTCATTCTGAAATCAGGGGTCTCATACTCTTAATCACCTAACATCAGGATTATTACACATTTATCAATTATCAATTCCTGCTTATTTTTCTTGTAGTAGTTTCACTCTGACCTGTCCCTTTAAGTGGCCTTGCCACCCTTAACAGTTCCCTCCCACCCTTTTGGAGCTTCAGCTTCTCCTGAAAGATGAGCTTCTACCCACCCACACCAGCACCCGGAAGTCCCCTCCCCTGGGTCCAGGCCTCCCTACTTTCTCTGGCATCCATCCTGTGATCTTGTACTTGAATTCAGACTCTCCAAGTACAGTACCACGTGGTGGTGTCTCCTTAAATTAGCTTCCTGGTTCTCAGCTGGATGTGATTTGCAGAGAAAGGACCAGCAAAGGAAGACTCAAAGACTAAAGATGCAAGATAGGGGGTAAACAAAAAGGTCAAGGCCTAGAAGAAATCAGAGAGATCTGGAATTAGGAGCTTCGGGTCTGGAGTTCTGGTCTGTGAAAAAAAAAAAACAGCTAGGATAAGGAGGTCGTTTAAGATTTAGTGAAATTTTGAAATCAAGAGGAGAGAACTTGGGACCAGAGCTCTGGCATGGCCATGAGTTTTTTTTGTTTGTTTGTTTGTTTGTTTTTTTGTTTTTTTTTTTTCATGAGTTTAGAACTAAGAAAATAAAATGGGATAGAGAAACAACATATAAGAAGAGAAATTTACTATGAGATGCCATGAAATAAGGACTGTGGTTATTGGTCTGTTTTGTTTTGTTTGCTTTGTCTCATCATGGAAAAGTCAGTGTGTATCCAGCATGATGTACGACATTACCAAATACCATGAACAAACTCCTTGAAATAATAGACAGGTAACCCGCTCTCCACCAGATGGACAATTACAGGGTCAAAAGATTCCATGTGTACTTTTTCTCTGTTTTGAAGGGGAAATATTTTTATTTTACCTCGAAGACAAATCTTTTGACAAATCTGCTGAATTTGCAGTAATAGCAAATTTTCTTCTGGAAATATGGGGAAGGCCAGAACTCGAGGAAGATACCCTTCCCTTGGGGGGAAAGCCTTGCTGAGGTTGAATTTCATGTCAACTGATTTTGAAGTCTGGAGGTGTCAGACTTTAATAGAAAACTTTGACTTTTCATTATTTTATAGGAGATTGTACCACATTTTAAGTCAGACTATTTTAATTTTCCATTCTAGGAAAGAAAGAAGTTTGGACCCCTTGGTTGGAATATTTGCTATGAATTTAACGACAGTGACAGGGAATGTGCTTTACTCAATCTCAACCTCTACTGCCAAGAAGGAAAGATTCCCTGGGATGCACTAATTTATATTACTGGTCAGTATACCCACAAGGCCAGGGCAGTCAGCCAAGGACCGCCAAGCTGTTGGATCCCCCCCCCGGGCCATACCAGGATGGCGCCTCTCCCCCAGTGTTTAATGGTGCTGCTGCAGACTCTCTGTGCCTTTGTGATTAAGAATATGTGACAAAGCACATCATGAAAATATTTACACATAGAAATTTGGGAAGATATTTTCCCTAAGAATAATAAAAAGGAAATTTACATACATCTTGCTACACTCAGGTACTATTTTAAGCATGTCACACAGCTGCTTGTTTAATCTTCACAATGGCCCTGACAGCTGTCAGCATCGCAGGTAAAATCCTGGGACACTACAGCAGTGAACTGTAGTGATAGATCTGGGCTTTTTCTAAGGACTCGTGTCTGCATTAGATATCATTCCAGTGCATTTACTTCCTACTTAAAACCTAGGGATGGTGAAGAAACACCCTACAGTAGCTTCTCTGTGGAAAACGAGATAGTGCACCAATACATTTTAATTCTCCCCAATTTCTGTGAGGCAAATTCTGTTTCAACTTGGGCCTGTCGTTCCTCCCGAGCCTGATGGCAGTCACTTATAAGGTATGTGTAGGGTTTGACCATTTTACTCGCTGGCCCTAACACAAGCTCTGATTCATGCAAAGTGTGTATTTGCTAGAGTTCTGATGTTAATGATGAAATAAGACTCAAAATCAATATTTTGAAGAAAAAGAACAGGAAGAAGCAATAAATATGTAAGTAGAACTCAGCAGCTTTAGTTTCTGTTACTCCAAAGAGCAAACTATTAGGATAAAGAGTACAAATACTAACTCCTTTCTAGTTTTTAAATATTGGCTTTTATTCTCTTTGGGGGCAGTGGTAGGAGAAAATGCTGATGTGCTCTTTCCACTTTTAGTAGCATATAAGCTTATGAGAACTGGGGTATGCTTACCATTTTTTTAATAAAGCAAAAAATAATGTATTTAAAAATACAAACTTCTCAGGTGAAATTACATATGGCGGAAGAGTTACCGACACGTGGGACCAGAGATGCCTTCGTACAGTCTTGAAAAGATTCTTTTCTCCTGAAACCTTAGAAGATAATTATAAATATTCTGAATCAGGTGAATGACTCTTGAATGTTACGCAAGCCCTTCCCCACCCACCGTGGCGAGTGCCTTTCAGTTTCCCTCCAGCTTTACCATTTGCGTCTGATCTGCACAAGCCAGTATCCACCCCACACTTCACACCTTCAAAGCTGCTTTGATGGTGAAAGCAGAGGCACACATATTACGCAATAGCCACTTTGAATTACTTCTGTACTGAAGTTGGCTGTGCTGTGTCAATGCATTTCAAGGTTATAGTCTGGTATATCTTGACTGTAATTAAAGAAAACTCCTGATGAGGCAAACGGAATTTAAAAAAAAAGATCTATGAATTGGCAGGAGTTTATTATGGGTCAGACCAAAGTCAGCTGAAGAATCCTGGGTGCTGATCCCCTTAGAGGGAGCAATCTGATCAGCACAAAATAGGCTCATAAAGTCCCTACCACCGAGATGTAAGAGATGATTAGATGCAATTGTACAAGGGATGATTGAAGACTATGGTGAATGTTTATTTTTTTTAATTTATTAAAGTAAAAGATGCATTACCATTAGTGGCCCTTATTTTGAACACACTTATTCCATTATTCTTGACACTTTGTGAATCAGTTCTGAAAGTCCCCTTTTGTGTCTTTATGAGATGTGATCAAAAATATCGTGAATGTTGCTACCATGTGTCATCCATTAGAAATGCAGGCTCATAACATTGTACTGTGTCTTCATCTGTTTAATTCACCAAATCTGGCACTCCAGACTTCAGGCTCTTTCTCAGGTCAAAATAGCCCTAAAAGGTAAACATTTAGAAGCAGTTCAAGACATTGAAGCAGCCACAACAAGAGACATTCACAAAAGAGGATGTACAGAACTGCTTTAGAAAGTGGCAAGAATAAGGGGCAAGGCATTTCTGAAGCAAAGAGGAGTGTTTTGAGGGGAATTAATGGTTGTGTTTGTTAGTATAAAAATTTTCTTTCCTGCCTCATATATTCTGTTATCACTGGGGAAAAATGAGTAACTCTGAATTTCAGTGTTTTGCAAGTGTGGCTTTTTGAGGAGTTAAAGAAGGTGGTTGTTTAGGGAATAAATGAGCATAAACTGGAGCCCTTACTGAGGCATAACTTTCAGCAAAGTATCCACTGGCTCTCAGAGCTTTAAACTTTCAGGAGGAGGCATCTTTCGAGGTTTGGACACTAACCTCATGTTCAAGACCTCAAGTAAAAGTAACAAAACTAGACAGAGCAATGAAGGGTTAGACATGCAATCTCTTCCCAACCACCATCTGAATGAGCCTGAGAAATGCCAACTGGGGCAGTACAAAGCCAGGCCACTTGAGATACATTTGTGTTGTGTTTTTAATAACAGGCATCTATTTTGCACCCTCTGCTGACAACCTACAAGACTTTAAGGACTACATTGAAAATCTACCTTTAATAGATGACCCAGAAATTTTCGGAATGCATGAAAATGCCAATCTTGTTTTCCAGGTATGTTACCTCTCAACCAAAAGGACATTATTTTGTCTACATAAATTCAAAATTTCAATCAGCATCCCACTAGTTCTATATTTTTTCCTCAGTACTGGAAATTGAACTCGGGACCCTGAGCTTGCCAGGCAGGCGCATTTGTCACTGAGCTATCTCCCAGGCCCTAGTTCTGTATTTATAACTGTATCTTTAAGTAAACAAGTCTCTCCTTGCCTTCAGCAATGGTTTCAATTTAGCCTGGATCTCTCCCAGAGGCCAGTCACCAGCCACCCTCTCCATCTCTGGGCCTCTATGTCATCCACAATAGACTTGTTCATAGTCGATCAAAACACAGGGATTCAGATAGTAATGCAGCCTTTTCTCTCCCTTCTTCCTTCTCCATCCCTGATGGTATGTTTGTCTCATGTTGCACCACAGCTCCTGGATCCACATGTGACTAGATCATGTTAGTACAACTGAAAATGCTCAAAGCAGACCAGTGAAAACACTACTCAGG